GGAACGACCGTTGTCGTCAGTAGTCATTGTGACAAAAGCGACGAAAGCGAAGGATGAGCACCTTCGGCGCGTCGAACTGGGGCGCCGATGACGGCGGCAATGGTGGCGGAGCCCGGAACAACCGGGGGCGTAGCCACGAGCGCTCTGGACCGAGCGCACGCTCTCCGTCGCGGAAGCGACGGTGCGACGATGACCGAGGCCGACCATACCGGCGGAGCATGCCGGATTTTGTGGTGACCTCGGTAAGTGCGGGCGACGTTTTCGTCCGCACGGATTGGACTCTCCCAGATGTGGGAGACGCGGACTACCCGATGGACTGGGTGGTGTCCGGAATGTGAGCGTTGGTTCGTAGCGCGGAAGAGTATGCGCGCATGGAGGAGTGTCGAGCTCCACGCAGCGAATTGCTGCGGCAATACCTCGATGGCGTCAAAGTGGCCGTCAATGTCCTCATTGACATGCGGCCGTGGCGTTCGTCAGCGATGGAATTCGCTGACTTTTGCGGCGAACGCAAGCACCGTGGCGAGATCATCGCCAATGTGCGGGTCTCTCCACTGCGGGAGGAGACCATTTGGGAATACGTTGGGCTTTGGTGGGCACGCCTTGTGCGGAAGGTGCCTTTGCCGAACGCATTCCACTACCAGCAGAAGCTGGTTGAACACTTAGCGAATTTCGTTAAGTGTCGTGCCGAGCTGCCTCGGCTTGGACGGGATTTCGTCCACCAGATCTCCGAGTACTGTCGAAGTCGCGACAGAGAGCACGGAGAGGTGAGTTGGCTGGTATATCCAGCTCTGATGTCCATTCTGTAGGTCTATGGGATGCCGCGATCAGATACTCGCGGCCATCAGGGGCCCAACGAGAGCCCTTCACCACGAACTCGTGGTGCGGCAGATGCAAACGCTGACGTCGCCCACGACGTGTTGATGCGTTTGGTTGCTCTTGAGGCGCGCTCGGCGGCATGACGCCGTGGTCGCTCGCTAGTCTGCGGTTGAGCGGAAGATGAAGGGGCATCGCGTGACGCGACTGGAGCACGATGCCGTGCTTGAACGATTGGTAGCTGTCGAGCGCCTGATGCAGGTGACCTGATGTTGCGCATGGGCGATATTGTCGCCAAGTTGGCCCATGGAGCTGCGGAGGCGCAGAAATGCTTGGATCGACGCTGTCGTGCGTAGGCCCGGGGAGATTCCTCCCACACTCAAAGTAGACACACCGGTGTCAGTGGGGAGACGGGGGTGGCGCAGATGGTTTGCGTAAAACGGGGAAGACCCCGTGGAGGCGTGGACCGAGGAATTGTAAGCAAACTCCACTTGATGGAGTAGGGAACTCCATGTGCGAGGTTTCGACGCAGCATAACTGCGGAGCACATCTTCGACAATGCGGTTAGAGCGTTCGGTCTGGCCGTCAGTCTCGGGGTGGTCGGCCGAGGACATGTTGAGGCGAGTGCCAATGCGGGCAAT